TTACGGATATGATGAAGGTGAATCCTTGTATGAAATTATATCCATTTTTGGGTTTTTCTCTCGTCAATATCGGAAAAAAGAGTTTGTAATCAGCTTTTGTAGGTATAGCTGTGTTTAAAAGTGCCTGTTGTCTATCCATATCTGCATAGCTCATTGTAATAATAACGAAAGGTCATTTAAATCTTCAAACTTTACAATAAAAGTGCTTGCAGGCGTTCATGGGTGGCGGGAGTCACTTTCCATCAGGTGACTCATCTGCTGGTTTGCCCTCTGTATCATAAAAATTATGAAAAAACAGAGCATACAGAAGTGAAAACTTGTTTTTTTTTATTATGACAGGAAAATCTTGTTTTTTTTTTTCATTTCGAAAAGAGCCGCTTTGAATATATATTTATGTTGTAGTTATATACACAATATATGTTTATATTATCTATAGTTATATTATCAATGTATTTCAACCCAAACTCAACTCTCGTGTATACAGAACTCTTATATACAGAGGTGTCGGTAACGGTAAAAGTGTCGAGTGTTCTAAAGTTTTTTTCCCAGATCAAAAAATACATTATTTTGTTTATTGTTCAAAAATGCCATACGCACCTAAAGAAGTTTTCACTTCAATAATAAAACGATACTTTGATCTTATTTTCAGATCTCAGATCTCTGCTAAAATTGGAGTCGATAAAATGAGACACTTCCTTAACCCTTCGAAAGTCTTAAATTATTCAATCAACGCATAATTAATCTTTTGTGGGCGGCTTCGATCGGAATTGGAAAAGTACTTTTAGGTACTGGATGAAATGTATATTATTTGGTTTTCTGTACATTTTTTTCACTATAATCGGTTCGGTAGTTAAGGCGAAAAAGAGTAATATAAAAAAACTAATATGTAGTTATAATATTAGGTAGGATAGTAGATTACGTCGTCGGTAAAAGCGAGAAAGGGGAGGGAGGGTTTTATAGGGTAAGGATTACTGCATGGGAAGGGCTTTCTTTAGGCACCGCTAACAATCGTCTGTGCGACCATCGAGTCAATGTAGAGAGAAGTAAACTCACAATAAAATATACTAGCCTAAAACGAAATAAACTGTGTCAACAATTGTAGCCATTTAAATTTATTGTACTAGCACACGAGTAGTACACATATATTATAATCCATATTGCCGTCTAAGTAAATAAGAAATACACTCTAGAACTTTTATTTCCTTAACAGAACTCGTCAACATTAATAACTTAAACTCACAAAAAATAATATTACTCATTTTTTCTGCTTCTCCAAACTTCCACAAAGTGACAAAGCCCACGAAAAAAACTGCCTATTTTAATAATAACCCCTTCAATAGTCCTTTGAAAAACTTTGAAACTTCCAAACCGTTTCTGTTTATAAAAGTCCGTGACTGGAAAATTCGTGTGTTTTAATTAAAATTAGTCATTTACTGTTGCATTTTAGCGGTTTCCGTAAACCTCTGGTTGGAATTAATTGGCCTTTTTGTTTGGTCTGTTCGACCAACAGCAAGTTAATTTAGGGTTAATGCAGCCTTTCATATTGTTTGGCTTCGTAGCCAGGTTATAGTGGGAAATTATCGTTTGGTGCTGAAGGCTTGTGTTCGAAGTAATTAACGTTTGATGCAGGAACCCTTACGAGAGATTTGGGTTATATATATACACGGTATAAGGGACGTCGTAACGAATACTGAAATAGTGTATTCAGACCATCATTCTGAGTCGAAAATCATTGGAATTTTCAGTCGGCAAATTAAACTTATTATGCAATCGGCTGTCATAGGTTAAGGTCATACCCCGTAGGTATCGCACTAAAGTAATAACTACATGTGTATTCCGTGCAAAGAGTGTACGCACATTAGCACTAAATGGCGGCCGGAGTGGAAGCCCTGCGCGCTTCGTCTGTTTGATTAATAACTTTGCAGTTTTTTGGTATTTATAAAATTGTTTTTTCTTTTAAATGAAAACATTTAAAGCAACATACACAAAAGTAGTCACATACACATAAGTAGTCAAAAGACTACCTATTGTGATATCATTTTTCATCATTTTCAAGTAGAAAAATGGAAATTAAAAAAAAAGAATGATGAATTTTCCGGCAGAAAATTCCAATCATTTTCGACTCAGAATCATGGTCATACACTATTTCAGTATTCGGTACGATGTCCCTTACACCTTGTATATTATACTTAGAAATGTAGCCACGGCCATTTAGTACCTACCTATGTCTTGTCACCGATATGCAGTCGTTTAATTTACTACAGTTAGGGAGACTACGCTATAAGAATGTCTTAAAGGTCATACATTTGGCGTTTTAGAGGCGTTAATGATTTGCACCGTGAAAAATCACTTCATTGAAATTTACTAAATGATTTATTTTAAAGTTTATACTTAGAAATTAGAATTTTGAAATAAAATATTCATTAATAGAGCTTAACTAGAAATGTCTGGCATAAAAGTCTTACCTATACAAGGTGTAAGGGACATCGTACCGAATACTGAAATAGTGTATTCAGATCATGATTCTGAGTCGAAAATCATTGGAATTTTCTGAATGCATCAATGATGTTCTGAATACACTATTTCAGTATTCGTTACGACGTCCCTTACACCTTGTATATTAATACAATAAGAAAACTGTTGCAAGCCTTTTTAGTCATATTTCTACGAATCTACACGAAATTTCAAATACGTAGGTATTTGAAACTTCGTGTTAGTGTGTGTATGGAGAAACTTAAACAATGTAAGTCACAAAAAATTTAAAGTACGCAAAAACGGCTATATTAGGCTATCAATCACATTACACATTATCAAATCAACAGCCTTTAATAGTCCACAGCTGGACATAATAAAATTCTTACTAACTAAAAAATACTTAAAAAATCGTCTTATATATCGCCATTCAATAAGAGAATGGCTCACACAGGAAATTTCTTTTATTACTTTCATGTTTTTCTTTCTTAATTAAAATACGTTTACAAAAAGCTCTGCTCTTTATCAAAAATGTTTTATGTCAGGTAATAAAACATTACAAAAAAAACTTAGAAGACTTTAATAAATCTATCGTCGGCCGCACGCCAATACCAGGAGACTAGATACCCACAAGAGATGACAGCGAATTTAATTATAAATATAATAAAAAAATCTCGATCGTCCCTTTCTAAAAACCGTCATGTACTTCGCGTTCGCAAAAATAAACCTTCAAACGATTTTGCACCTTACGACTCGCCCATATAACTTATTGTCCTTTTAATAAATTGCATTATAATTTTGACGCGTTTTATAATAATATAATATTGTAGATACGATTGACGTCACCACAATGAGGGTGTCTCATATATTTTTTTATTTAAATTCTATATTCAAATATTTCAGGAGAGACATGAAGTGTATTTCGATTTCCACGTAATAGGATTACGAGTGGTTAGATTGTCGTGACATCCTAATTTGGTTGTATTATAAATATTTCGGCACGAAATTTGACAGTTCTATTCTAAATTTATAGATTTGACATGAATTGACAACATATTTTTTTTTTAATAAAACACTTTTTATTTAATAAAACACTTTTTTTTAATTTATTATGATTCGTATCTTTTGTACAAAGCCTTGTCGGTGAATTAAATTGATAGGAACTTATAAAATTAAATATTAGTGCATTAAAATGACGAATTAATTAAAGGCTTGAGATACTTCTAAATAAGCTTAAAATTAGGCTAGAATAAAATTACAGTAATAGATAATTTATAGGGTAATAAATCAACTGTTCAAATTAAATTCCTAAATCCGGCTTCATTATTTATCCATACCGTCAACTAGTCAAAGTAAGACGTATTTAATAAACACCTCTAAGGAACTGACCGTTGGTTAATAGCACTCGAGGGTGAGATTATTCGAAGCACAATGAAATAATTAATTGGTGCTCGAATCAGAGTTCCCAGCCGGCTATTATGGCCGTGGAGTACTGTCCATTACGGCGGCCACTTGCTCACTGGATGCTGGTGCGAAGTGAATTAGATTAGACATTCTGCACGTCTATGAATGTTTTGAATTTCGAATTGTTTTGGAATGGTTTAAATAGTTTGTAGGGGATTAGGGTTGTCACAGAATACAATGATGTTTTACAATTGTCTTTGGTCACTAACCAATTGCTTTGTATGTCTGGAAAAAAAAGTAGTTTAAGTTTTGCAGCAGAGTTGGTAAGCTCGTGTGGAGAAGGTAGGCTTCTTATTGTGTGTATAGAAAAAAGTTTAAACACGCAATACAAAGCTGTTTTTTTTAATATTTCTGACTTTAACAAAATAGCTAATAGTTTATGCATTGGCCTGATTTAAATACCTATTAAAGATGGACGCTAAGGAGTAGAAGAGTAAGGTAATCATAGATTTATATTGAAACTAGCTATGTAATAATGAAAAAAAAACAAGCTTTCCAAAATGAATAATTAAAACCAGATAAACTACAATTATAATGAATTGATTCTGCATTATTTAACTACATAGTACTTAATAAAAAGAGTAGATTTTATATTTGCCTTCTATATGAAAAACGATTTCAATATTTTGTATATAGTAGTGTTTTATGTAGTAAATATATTTTGACTTTGTGTATCTCTAGCCATTTTCTTTTTTCCTTAAAGTTTGCCACTATATTAAAGAATTTTTTATTATTATTATTAAATACTATTTAAAATAATCATCTGTCCGCCTTAGTAGCGGACGTCCTACTTATTACCTATTAAAGCTCTCTCTGTCGTCGCGTAATGCGTTTGACTGTATGGTACGTAGTGCTTTAAGCGGTGTTGAGTGTTATGGGTTGGATCCCCACATGGGACAACACTAATTAAAGTAATCCACAAATTGTGGCTCTGGGTCTGGTCGTGCTTTGTGTAAAGTTTACTGCTACTTCAATTTGCTGCTCCATTTATTTTTGTAGGAAAGTTTAATTTTTTTATGTCATTATGAAAATGAATATTATTCATTTAGTGTTTCCTTTATCAGGTATGGCCGGTGGAGGTATGGGTCAAGCCATGGGTGGATACTACGGCGCTGCATATGGACCACTCGGAGCCAGCATGGCGGCAGCAGCAGCAGCAGCTGCGCAACAGAACGCTATTTCAGCCGCACTTACACCTAACCCACAGGTAAGATTTAATTAATTTATTAAGTAAATAAGTTGTTTGGCACAGCCCTGGATCGCAGTCACACAAGAGGTTAGAACTGTTACGACTATATTGTTTAGTAAATATTTCAGTAAAAGTATACCTATTATATAGTTTCAGTAGTAGTATATAAATTCAGTATTTTCAAAGTTCTGTTGTATGTTCACTATTTTGAAGGCCCAGTTTGTCGAGTTTTATGTGATCTAAACGCTTTTTTTTGACGGGGTGGAAAATCCCTTCGGATCTTCTGCTCCTTGATTACTCAGGAGCGAGGAGTATGTGGTGATGCCACTAAAAACCACCCCGATGACGGCCACCGATGAAACCACACCATGCTTAATGAGGCCCTATCGTTTATATCGTATAATTTATGTATAATATGTACGTGGTATTTATCAGCAGTCTGGTTCTGCATAGTTTGGGATCAGACGGCCGTGTATGAGATGTTTGAGGTTATTTATTCTTTCTTCTTTAGCTTTATTCCTTTTAAACAATTACGGCGAAGCCCATAAGTATAGTTAAGTATGTGTATGTTTGAGCCGTATGTGTCTATCTCCGTCTATTTTTATCAATGTTACAACGCAACTGCTAAACTGATGATTCTAAAAGGATTGTGTTCTAAGGGTACATTAATCTGTTAGTACTTATTGTCTAATATATGTATGTGAAAGAAATTCTTTAAAAGGGATAAAAGATTAAACTCCATCTACATTTCATCCCTTTTATTACTGTTGGACGTATCCGCACATAATAAACTAAATTTGACTAATCTACATGACTTTCTATCTGACTATCTACATGACTAAATTTACTAATATAGCATGCTTTGGTCACCATTAATCATTAAGTAGGCCGTATACCTACTTATTTAAAACCTCCTTAGAAAAAAAATAGAAATACAACAGAGTGTACATATGTAAGTAATTTTATTTATTTAAGAATGTTGGCACACCAGCCCTGAATCTATACTAATATTATATAGCTGAAGAGTTTGTTTGTTTGTTTGTTTGAACGCGCTAATCTCAGCAACTACTGGTCCGATTAAAAAAATTCTTTCAGTGTTAGATAGCCCATTTATCGAGGAAGGCTATAGGCTATATATCATCACGCTAAGACCAATAGGAGCGGAGCCCCAATGAAGAATGTTTCAAAAACGGAGAAAATTTATTACTATTGAGAGACGCAGACGAAGTTGCGCGGGTTAGCTAGTACCCAATATTTCCGAAAAGGGGCCGAGAGTTGCCGAAGCAACGTAATGTTAGATAATTATTCTATTAGCCTAACGCGGCAAAAGCATGAAATCTTAAGCGTTTTGCTTAAAATTATTAACACCGTGAAATGGGCCCATCACGGATGAAAAATTTCACCGCAAATCAGCCCTAAGGGGCCTTAAAATTTTGACACGTCATGATTATAGACCAATATGGTCTAAGATGACGTGTTGATTTGATTTTTCGTAAATTTGCCGGTAGCTGTAAAAAAATTGAAACGTTTAATAATGTTTAAGATTAGGGGATAACCCATATGTTTCGCTACGAAAGTGTGTAAAAATGGTGATTAATAAAGCGGGGAAAATTAAATTTTAACGCTGCGTAAATTTAAATGTCATTAAGATTTCTATACTTTTTATTGTTATACAAAAAAAAATACAAGGTTTTTACAAGCTTTTTACATCTTGGAAGTCAATTAAACCCTATTTTTTTGTTAGATACACATGAATCTAGAGGTACATACACATAGTTTGGATGATAATACCATACCTTGTGATCTTGAAACTGATGTCACCATAGAGCTAGAAGGAAAGTGGAATAGATAGTCCTTTTGTTCGTCTCTCAATCTTACTGTATAAGGCAAATAATATTCGTCATATATTAAAGCACTAGCTGACCCCGCAAACGTCGTTTTTTGAATTTCTTAAAATCCGTTCTTAGCTGACCTCTACTCGGTGAAAAGAATATTCCTACAAAATTTCAAGTCTTTAGCTCTAATGGTTCCAGAGATATCGTGATGAGTGATTTACGTGGAAATCTCTTATATATATATAGATAGATTGAGATCAGCTTTAAGTCTATTTAGATAGGTAGCTGTATAAATAATTAAATTCTATTATAGAAAATCGCATTTCTTGTAAACTTCAGAATTTTTTGATGCTGCAGTACGCAAAATATAATTTAACGGAGCTTTAGGTTATTTATAATAATCCGTGTGGTGACGGATTAAGAATACGGAATGTCACCACCCCTATAATTATCCAGTGGATGTCGTAAGAGCCGACTAAGGGACCTACCTACGCAGGACAACAGCACTGCAAAGAGAAGGAAAACTTGACACAAACCCTATACCAACCCATCTGGCCAGCGTGGTATAGTAGGCCAAACCTCCTTTCTAAGGAGAGGCTTAGGTATGTCCAGCAGCGGACTATTAAAGGCTGTTGTTGATGATGATGATGACAGAAGTGGTCCAATTTACATGCCGGTTCAACATTGGTTACTCTCCCCTATATATATATCATCCTAGATATATTTGTTTCTCAATTAAAATAATATTTAAACACTTACCATGACATTTAAAACCCTCTACAAATCTTAAGATTTTCTTTAAATTCGTGAATCAACATCATATTCTCAAACTTGTCTATACCCTCACGCCCAAGGGACTCGGCCCTCTGATTTTAAAAACCTACCCTCGCGTCTGACGTTTAATCTTCTGAAAGTGACGTAGATGTGTTGTTGAGCGTAGGGCGAAGGGCGCGATCCAGATTCTGTTTCCACGTTATTAGATTGTTATGTTGGGGATTATAAGATGATTTATTTTATGTTGAGGTGTGAATTTGTGGGGATAAATAGGTTAAATAAATAGAACAATGGGGACAAAGTTGTTAAAGATAAATTTTTGGAACTTTAGTTAGAAGAATACCTAAACTAGGAGTTTGCTGAAATTGGTTGATTTCTTATGTTGTCGGTCGTAACCAACGGTGTAACTAACCAGTCATTGATTTATTTATTAAGATAACACACAATTATTATTTTTTAAGACAGGAATATATAATGATCCCCAGTAAAAAACCTCTTTTAATCTTTTTTTTTCTTTAATCCTGTTATAATCCTGTTATTTTTGGGTTTTCTGTCCGATCTTCTGTCCTATCACTCTGATTGAACCGGCTTATTTATTCCGAAGCGTGGTTCTCTACTTTTAAATCATATTCATATGATAAAATGATTGGGTTTAATCACAACGATTTCGCCTGTGATTGTGATTTGGTCATAGAAAAAGATAAATGTCATTAAAATCAATCTAAATTCTTTTTATCAAAGATTACGACCTTTTTTTAGATTTAGACCTGTCGCGAGTCTAACACTAACGTAATAATAATAATAACTTAGAGCGGTTTTGTAAGTTAGTTATAGGTGTGTGTCATAGTAAGTGATTCATAAATCATATGATTTACGTTAATGATTGTTATTTTATTCCATCCCTAAATTTCGAAAAAAGAACATACCTAATGTAACTCAATAAAAAGTCTAACCCTGCACAAGGTGTGACCAAAACATTTAATTAACCCTTCGCCCGCCCCGGTAACGCTTGCATCGGATGATGCCGCGGTTCCATTCTTATTGCCGTGACGAATCCACACGATACCGGTAGGAAACAATATAATCAACTACTATTCATATCAACAACAGCAACTTTACCTGGCCTGTATTAAAAATAGTGATCAGGCACTTTCGGCTCATTAGGGCTGTCTCAAATGGTTTAACTGCAATAATAAATACAATGTTTGAAAGTGTGTAAGGGAAGTTATTGAATTTACAGACGGAAGGAACAATTGTTGTTAACAACGAAACAAAATGATACCAGATTCTTTATTGTATGATAATTTTGGTAGCACATAGAATTTAAACAATACGACGTTGTATTACAAGTCAGGGATAGTAGCACCATGTAGAAATGGCTTCGTAAAATCATAGGAAAGTTTTTTTATAATTTTAAACTTTCTCAAAATATTAAAAAAAAACAGCATATACAACCTGGTCAGAGAGCCTAGTGTAAGTTTATTTCACATCGACTCGATCGTCAGGGTGACAGCGTTCGGCGTTGTGTTTGGTGAAGAGTTTAGTTTTTACCCATCTCTAGAACTCTGGTCTAAGGTGACCCATGTGAGTGCTATGGGTGTGACGCTCACATGTTAAAGCTATTTTCATAATTTACAAATAATCCTTAATAATCTAGTATATATACTTAACTAACAATAACACTATCTATGTCCATAAAGTCTCTTAACACAATGAAAATAAAAGATATTTATATCCACATTATATCCACAAACAGAAGAGAACAAAAAGAAAAACGAAACAAAATACGAGAAGCAACCCTATGACTAAAGCTACCGCCAAATGTCGAGTTCTAACGAACCATTGTGATTTCTCGATTATATTGATCGATGATTTATCTATGGTTATCGACTTGATATGAGCTCCTTTCACGGCTCACGGCTCGCCGGTACGCTTGACGACTAATTAGCCACCTAAACGCAACGTGAAATTGTGAAATTCGCTACTAACTTTTTAATAATTTTGGGGCGAAGTTTTCTCTTAAAAAAACATATTTTTTATTTATTTTGACAAAAGAGGATTGTAGCGCCTTTAGAAGCCGACAATATTGCTTTTTAACCGACTTCAAAAGAAGATTACCTCATTTTTTATTTCAGAACTCCTTTTATTAATTTTATTAGAATCAATTTTGAAAATTCTATTTTTTTATTTAGAATAGTATACTTTCCGTTTCGTCCCATTCGAGGGCGAAAATATAAGAAATGAAGAATACAGAATTGTTAATCAAGTATTACCGACTTGAATGCATGCATAATACTTATTTTTTAGTTTTTTTTTGTAAGTAATGTGTAGGTGTAATTTTGTGAGGTGACCATGGGCTAGAAAACGCAGTGTGGGACGAAATGTGGGTTTACGACCCTGTTAAAGTGGCAGGAAACAATTAGATTGTGACTGTAGACCAATTGAGTTAGGATAACACATAAAGAGACGTTGAAATTAATTTAAAACAAAAAAAATATTGTTTAATACTAGAATCTGACTAGTGATTGTAGATATTGTCAATCAATTCAGGTATCAAACTAGACAGAGCCTGTATTATGGTAACCAAACTGCTGATAAACATATTTATGTATTTCTAAATGAATACAAGCAGACACAAATTAAATGATCGTGCTCATCACACAATTGTTGGTCAATTGTCCTGGGCCGCAATTCTGCTATTTTAATATTGTATCAATAGACTGTCGATGGAAAGTCGTCGGAATAGTTTTGCACTTTTCCTATTCTACTAACTATGTGAGACCAATGGATGACTTGTCACTGATACACATGACGTCGATGTCTCTGTAACAGTTTGGTAAACGTTACATTCTAAATTTGTATGAAAACGATATATTAATTTGATAGGTATGTCAATGTTGTTGATATCGCCATTGATGACCTATATTACTATATCGACAGTCTATTGACACTGTGAATTTATGTTAGTAGAATACTGATATTTTGACCGATGTAAATGGCGTCGATAGTGTGTCAACGCAATGACAGTAGCTTGGCGTTAACATAAAATAGCAGAATTGAGGCCCTGGTTAGTAATCAAACCCACAATCTCTGGCTTAGTACTTAGAATCACCAACCACTTGACCAACAGGCCCACTATTTAGTCGTCAGTTAGAATTAGGATTTAGAATTGATTAATTTATCTAGTTTTAGTTCGTCAGATTCAGTTCGTCGGTTTCATCGTAGTCAAAAACAAAAAATATAATAATAATAATATTTTCGGACATCTGCCACACAACGCCATCTAGTTCCAAATTAAGCAGAGCTTGTATTATGAAAGCTAGATTCATTGATACAATACTTACATACTTTTTTTTTGTAAAACATACATATTACACATATAACACCCAAGCTCCGAAACAAATATTTGCAGATCATAGAAACATTTGGTCTGACCCGAGAAACGAACCCGAAAAATAAAAAGAAACTTAGTCAAAAACCAAACTACCATTTTCTTATTTTTTTTAGAGGTTTGTTAGGTCTATGAACATTACTTAACAGTATCTATGAAAATTACTGTTAAATAATAAACTAGTTCGAAGGAAAACTGGAAACAAACCCTTCATTTTTTACGTGTGTAAACCCACCCACCGGCGTTTGCGGCAGGGTGGTGTGTCGGAGTCGGACCGACTAAAACCACACGGTGTGCCACTCTGCGCCTGTAACAGGAGGGATCCGGGAACTGCTGTTATTAAAACATCAGGACCCCTCCTAGCGCCTGCCCGCAACGGCGCGGGCACCACCCTAGAAACAAACCCTATACCAACCCGTCTGCCCAGCGTGGTATAGTAGGCCAAAACTTACTTTCTAAGGAGAGGCCTATGTCCAGCAGTGGACTAGTAAAGGCTGTTGATAATATGATGTTCATAGGCAGTAGTAGGTAATAGTAATATTTATCTCAAAATAATAAAGAGTGGTCAAATTTCGACCACTAGTTAAAAACTAGTTTAATAAAATCGTTATCACTTGTAAGGCTTTTATACCGTCAGTTAAAGATATAAAAGATACTACAGCCCCATTGTTACGCTATTTTCTTTACACCTCAAGCCTTTCGTTTCCCACGCGTATCAATAAAACCTCTTCAAAAGTCCAGACCATCACAATTCCACATTGACAAACGCCGCATAGTTCCTACAAAACAAAAAAAAAAACATCTCGTATATAACTGGTTTGCAATAAAATAGCCGTAAGGGCGAGCCGTAAACTCCGTACATGATGCCTTTGCGTCTGGCTAATCCTGATTTAGCGCTCTAGCTGTGACCAGCCGCCGTATGTTATGCGCAAGCGCACGCTACATACAGACACATAAAACTACAGACTAGTGGGCGAACTTGTTAGCTCTGTAAACATTTTTATAATGTAACAGCCTTTTATGTAGCCTTTTGATGGCGTTTCAATAGTTTGAAATGGAAATCTGGCAGTAAACGGGATAAATGTCCACCTAATCCTGATTCAAGACGTTAGTTAAATGTTTTGTTTGGTTGCATTTGTTAATAGAATATTCTTTGAAGATAAATGTTATATGACATGGTTGTCAAGATTTATAGGACATTAAGGAGTTGTAATATTTGTTAGCTGTACACAGAAATATAATCTATTGTTTAACAAAATCACCACTATGTTTAGTTATAGGAACTTATAAAATTTCGAATGCGATAATAAATAATTAAGAAGAAGATAAAGAGCCAATAAGAGTCAGGTCATAATAGTTAGTGAACCAGGTTGCATTGGCTGTGGTAACAAGCTTCTTTTAATTTATCAGGCATTCATGGGAATGTAAAATCTATGTAGTTCGTGATCGCGCTATAATCTATACGTATGCTAGTTTTAGTCTTAGTACTGTCTAGTTACCATAGTTAAAAGATTTTTTTTTTAATTACGACTATTACGAATTAGACTGTTTTAAAATCACGACTATTCTTAACACATAGAATTATATTTTCTATTCTTAACAATGTTAGCTGAACAAGTGGTCTGTGTGTCGCCTCTAAACGATATTTTCTTCACAATATTGTGTAGGGCTCACTTCATTAAAAAATTTAAAATTCGAACCTTTATTTGATTCCATTGTTAGGTGTGATTTGTGTATCTGTGCGTGTAAAATACAATACTGTATTACGTTTCAATACAACAAGCAACTTTATACCGTATTTCAGTTGGTTTATAACTCAAAATTTAACGCTTAATATTCTGTGTTACATGTAAATATGTAATCGAAAGAAAATTCTTTTTTAATTTGTTTAAATCATGTTTTATAAGTATTTTGTCTATTTTGTATCATGTTTTATAAGTGTGTTTGTTTATTTTGTATCATGTTTTATAAGTTTTATAACTAGCGTTTGCCAGCGGCTGCATTTGTTAACACCAATTAAATCAATCACTATTTTGTCGGGATAAAGAAAATCAACGCAATGTGAAAATCTATGTCTGTACCAAATTTTATCTAGTTCGATCCATCCTTGCCTAACTGAGTAACAAACATCTAAACTTAAACATTTCTATCTAACTAGCTGTACCCTGCCTGGCTGTGCGGTGGCACAAGACTGCACGGATGGCGTAGTGGTTTAAGAGGTCGCCACGCCGCTTCCTGCTACGCTGAGTGTTGTGGGTTCGTTCCCCACATGGGACGACACTTTGTGTGATCCACAAATTACCGCTCTGAGTCTGGTGTTCTTTGTGTCCGTTTCATGTGTTTGTGAAGTCCACCGCGCCACAGGATTTCTGCCTAGAGCGGGAGTTGTCTATCCGTGCAGTGCATTATAATTATAAAATAAATTACTTACAAGATAATTAGAAGGAATAATATTTATGGCAGAAATAACCTTCTTGGCTTTAATATATCTAACTGTAAATTTCTTTGTCAACAGGTTGGACCTTCAATGGACATGTCAAAATATTCCCTGGATGCTGAAAAGTACCGCAGCTATGGCATGTACCCAGACCCATCGCGAGGATACCTGGACTCCGCCGCCCTCTCCAAGGCATACATGTACATGGACCAGCAGCAACAAAGGTCATACCCTGTAGACATTAGCAAAATGTACTCCGAGGCGTCGGCAGCAGCGATGGCGGGCCTTAGCTCCGTCAACTCAGCGCCTTCAAGCCTGTCCCCGCGCTCACCAGCTGAATCTCCGGATATGACAGCAAAAACACAAGACAGAACCGAAGGCAGTTCCTCGTCAGGCTCAAACCCTTCACCGTCCCTCCCCTACTACCAAGGATCTTCAAGTATCCTCATGCCACAGTACCCTGGACAGTACCCACAGAGTACTCAGGGAGGTTCAGAATTTAGGCGGCCACTCACAGTTATATTTTGACCTGAAAATTAGTTTATTGTTGTTGATGTTTATTTATTTGTTTAATTTTATTGTTCTTGGACTGCAATTGTTTTTCGGATGAGGCGTGTTCGATTTTCAATTTAAATTATAAGTAACGGATATTCGAAATTTAAAATTATGTAAAAGTGTTCTACGGAGTGAGAACCTTTTTAATTTTAAGTTTATTTTGTATGAGATTTTTATTTGAATCGATTTTCGAATCGATTGTATAGTCCTTTTAGCACCAGTGTTGGTCTATGCTTTATTTTTGTTTTGTGGTCCAAAGTTCCTTCCTGATTTCCCTCTGATAGAACCTAAAGTTGAGTAGATATTTGTAGATGTATAGACACGTATTTGTACATATTTACTATACTTAGTTGTTTAAAAATTAAAAATGAACTTCATTGATAAATCAGTGTTACTGCAAAAAAGTACCTAATTACTAATTAATTTAAAAGTGATTTTCAATTTCGATCATTTCACGAACAAAATGCATTACATATAACTAACGGGAATCAACGTGATTAATAAGTGCATAGCTTTGAATCGCCTGACGTTTCGTCCAGTTTGCACTGGCTGTGGTCAGAGGTTCTGCGGTGCATCCAGTCGTTAATCGCTTTCATTATCGTTAATTAGCAATAATAATAAACCTTTTATATAAAGTCAAAGTTTAAAAGACAGTTTAATTAATAAAATACACTGTAAATAAAAAAAAAACAATAATCTGCCTTTTTTCCTAATTAAGTTGGGGTCAGCTTTAATTCTACTGCGATATTGCTGATCTTCGATGTTTTCACGCGGAATGACTGCCATCAGACCTTCACAACCCAAGTACCAGGGGACATCGAAGCTCTGTAGTAAGACTCTTGTCGGACTTTTAGGGCTCCAACTGCCTGTAACACCACAGATATTCGTATAACAACCAGGTCCTACGGCTTAACATGCTCTCCGAGGCACGGAGGGTTTTCAATATGTTAAGAATAGACCTGGCTAGTATTGCTGAACTTTGGAGTGTGTTTACCACGTAGCTCGTACCTAATTAAAAAAAAAAACAAATACAGAACACTGGCAGGCTACATTGGCATATCAATAAAGAATCATTGAAATAAAAATGTTTGTAACAGGACAACATTTTTTTTTTGTTTTTAAAGTTTAAAAAAAATGTTGTCGATGTAATAATAGTCTATTGGAACTTAATAGTCCAAAATAAATTACAACGATTTTTGATAGACGTGTACATAAGTGGTTGTTATTTTTATCACTAGATTCGTATGTGTCATTTTGTAAAATAAATTAAATCTTTTTAATATCAAACCGCTTTAGAGATTAAGAGTTGTGTACAAAAAAAAAGTTTTGTTCCTGCCAACATCAAAAACGGAATAGAGATCTGGATATTTGAAAGTTAATATTTAACAAAAAGTTTTAACACCTGGTCCTTTTTTTTATAGATTTTCAGACAGATTAATTTGAATTCGGTCCTTTTCTTTTTTAATATTCTATTGCATTATAATGTACGATTTAATTAATTTGCCTGTAAAACTGTAATGATCTGTATCACTAACCGAATCGTTAATAATTGATTAAATTAATAATTGAGCAAATCTTAAACTTCAAATTTATTTGTTTTTTGGAATTTGATTATTCGAAATGTAAATTTGTCGATTGTAATTTTTAATCATTTTTTAAATGAAATTTTAAAAATTACGTTTTCGATTTGATTTATTATTAATTTTCTACATTAGAAATGGCAAGCGAATCTTTGATTCTCGTGAAGATTTTCTTTGTTACAAATCTACTAGATAAATTAAAAAAATATATGTTAAAAGCCATTTAGTAATTGTTGCATTGTTGCATTTAAATGTTGCCATATTTATTTTGACTTCATGATTATTATAATTTACTTTCACAACTCGCCTGTTTATATAAATATTATTCTGTAAGTCTAAACAAAAGTATTTTAACCAATATTTAGAAATTGTAATTTATGACAAAACAATTTAAATAGGTATATCTTGTAAATTAAATGTTGTAAATTAAAGTCGAATGTAACGGCGAGACTATTATCTCGATTAAAAAATATTATACGTAATTAAAATTATTAGACATTTTAATATGATTTTTTAATTAATTATATACATTCCACAATCTTACTAACTGATACAAAAGAGAGATCTCCTCGACATCAAAACTAAAAAAGTTCTCTGTCTCTCTCTTTCTCCTCTTCAGTACAAACTAGAAATATCCAAGACCACATTAAATAAACAAGCTGTTTATATAATTGAAGGCCTTCTTGTTCATTAAAAATATTTTACTGGTAGGTAAGTATCCATCAGACAGTGAAAACATTTGGAAACAAGTTTAGGGTAGTAAAATTTTAATTCAATAACTCATTAAATAGTATACAACGTTCAAAAAATGGTGATGAGAGATGCTTTCAAGGGATGATGAAAGTACAATCAAGAAACCTCCTTTCTAAGGAGAGGCATACCAGCAGTGGACTACTAAATGTTGATGATGATGATGATGATGAATCACGGAACACATTGATACATTAAGTAGAGCCTACCATGTACCAAACGTCTCATGTGTTATCTATTACTTCCAACATCACGTCAACAGCCTTTAATAGTCCAGAGCTGGACATGGATAAGGAGAGGCTGGACATAGATTGGCCAACTCTAACACGCTGGCCAGACGGGTTGGTATAGGGTTTGTATCAAGTTTTCCTTCTCTTTGCAGTGCTGTTTTCTTGCGTAGTTTGCTCCCTTAGTCGACTCTTGCGACACCCACATGATGAATAGGGGTGGTGACGGGTCAAGAATACGGAATTTTCGACCTGTCACCACACGGATTATAACATCAAATCTTACCTACTATTATTATAAACGCAAAGAGTTTGAATAGAAATTTGTAACTCAATCATGCCAGAACGACTGAATGAAATTAAAAGAAATATGGTTGTCTGGAGTACCTACCTAATTTTATTTTCCAAAAACAATAATAACAAAATTGACACTAACACGACCAAAGCCGGGGGTAAATGTTACTTATATAGAATAAATATAATAACTATTAAATCTTCTTTATTAGATGCGTTGCGATGCGTTTAACCACTTATACTATTAAAAAAACCTTGTCATTTTCCTCGTACTATTAAAAATGTACTCACAGCTACAATAGTTGTAACTTTTCTGAAAAAAAAAACAATTTTCACAAAATATTATACGATTTAAACTTGCTGCAGTATCCTCAGTGATCTTTTCTATAAACTTTGAGGAGTAACAAGTAAACTCTGCGCGTACGCCAAAGTTAAACGGAACATCAATTTGTTTAGTAGTTATAAATATTTCTAAAGTACTACTCTGTCAAGAAAGTACCGGGAAAAGATCAATAATACACTAAATGTTTGTTATTCATCCAAATTTATTTTATCACCTTCAAAGTGTGCTCCTTCAGAAACGATACACTTACCCCAACGAATAATCCAATCATCAAAACATTTTTTAAACTCTGTTTCCGGAATTGAGTTCAGTTCTTCCGGAATTGAAAACGGGTGCCACAAAGTGATAATTTGAGTTTAGGAAAAAGAAAGAAGTCGGCTAGAGCCATATCTGGTGAACATGGTGGTAGCTCGATGGTATTTGTTGAGTGTTTGGTCAAAAATTCGTTCACAATGATGGCCCATGGAAATGGCCAATCCATGGCATGGCAAATCAATGGGAAATCCAAGAATTTTCTTTCCACAAATCTGGCCTTTTTCGTCAAATTTGCTCTCTTAAATGCCGCATAACGCTCAAATAATATTCTTTATTTACCGCTTGACCTTCCAGCAAGAATTCCGAGTGCACAACACCGCGATAGTCAAAGAAAACAGTCAACATGACTTTGACTATTGATCGACTTTGGCGTGGTTTTTTCGGTTTCGGTTAAGTTGGAAGGCGCCACTTTGAAGCTTGTTGACTAGTTTGCATGTCAAACTCGTAAACCCACGTCTTGTCACCAGTAACAATGCGTTTCATGAATGTTGGGTCGGAATTGACTCGTTCTAGCATGTCCTTAGCGACTCTCATGCGATTGAGTTCTTGGAGAAATTTGGAGAAATTTAGGTCTTTTGGGACTAGCCGAGCGGTAACATATTTCATATTCAAATAATTGATTAAAATGGTATGGATCGCCTCGTGAGGTACATAAAGTTCGGCGGCTATCCCTCTCAAAGTTGAATGAGGATTTTCAGTCACTATTTCAGTTCAGTTGCAGACGTTGATGGCCTACCAGAGCGAGGCAAATTTTCACTCACATCTCGACCGCTTTTGAGCGCTTTGCACCGTACGCCTTCTGTAACATTTTCAGTGACTCCGAACACGAAATTCCATGGGCGATGTAAAATTTAAGACAAACTCTTTGTTCGATGTTCCATTATGAAATTCGCAATACACACTAGATATGATATAATTAAAAACAGCACTGTATTTAATATAAATAGCCAAAATGGAAAACAGTTGTGCCAATCTAACAACAAAAATAAAAAAAATTGGAACCATAAACAAATCAACCATTTCCGATACTTTTTTGACTGAATGTATAACAGAATAAGTGATTTGTAGTATGAGTACTAGACAACTGATATAAATACATAAATACTTTTTTTTACAACTACTACTTTTTTTATATATATACATATTATACATATACATATTATACATTAATTTTCAAACACACAAATGTTTGACTTGAGCGGGATTCGAACCCGAATACCTTAGAAATAACAGTCTGTTACACAAACCAGTACGCCATCAGGTCGCCAGGTTGGAAAAAAATACTTTAGTACTTTTTCTTTGCGAACTTTAAATAAAAGCAACATATCAACTGAAAAAAATATATTTATTTATTCAGTAATTATAACAGCTTTAAAAGTTTATTAAAATAACACAATTACCCTTCAACATTCGCCAAATTACTCCATCAGTATTACCCGAAATAAAACCCTAAAACTTCTGAAA